CTCCTCCTCTTCCTCCCCGCCGCGGAGCCGAGCGCCAGCGTGAAGGATAAATAAAAAGCGAAGAGGAAGAGGCTGGGGAGGAGGAGGAGGAGGAGGAGGAAGGGGGGGGAGGAAAGAAGAAGAAGAAAGCGAGCAAGAAAAGAAAGCGAGGAGCCAGGCGGCCAGCCCAGCCGCGCCGCTCCCGGCAGCCAGGGCAGGAGGCGGCGGCGGAGCGGGGCCGGCGGCCGGCGATGGATGACCAGCCGCGGCTGATGCACACGCACAGCGGGGTGGGGATGCCGGGGCACCCGGGCCTGTCCCAGCACATGCAGGATGGACCAGGCGGGGCGGAGGGGGAGGCAGGCAGGAAGCAGGACATCGGAGACATCTTACAGCAGATCATGACCATCACGGACCAGAGTTTGGACGAGGCGCAGGCCAGGTGAGAGCGGTGGGGAGCGCGGGGGGGCAGGTGCCGGGAAGTTTCCCCCGCGCCCCGGCCCGGCCTTTGTTGTGCGGCGGGGGGAGCGCGCCCGGCCGCGGGGCGCACCGGGGGACCGGGGTCCTGCTGCTCCTGCCGCTGAGAAATGGGGGGAGGGAGGCGAGAGGAATGGTTAATATCCCTCCTTTTTATTTCCCATTTCCCCTACCACCACCACCCCCAACTTCGTTGGGGTATCGAGAGGTCGCAGCGCCTTGCAGCCCCCCTCTTCTTCCTCCATCCCAAAGTGGGCCTGGCTTTTCCCAGCCTACTTGGGCTAGGGGATAATTGCGGAGGGCGATGGTGGTTGGGGCAGGCTGGGCGTGCGAGAGGCTCCGCTCCGGGCTCCTCCGAAAGAGCCACGAAGTGCTGCCCCGCTTTCAGGGCCGCTAATGGTGTTCTTTCCTAGGGCCCTGTAGTGGTGTTATTTTTAAGGCCGTGTTTCTGCGCTTGGAAGATGCTCCTAGACGCTTCGCCTTTTTTATTTTTTTTTTTTTTCTTCTTAATTGCAGATGTATTTAAAAAAGGAAAAATAAGGCTGTAAAAGCCGGTGTCTGAATTGCCCTGAGCTTCGGGGAGCGCAAACATAATACGCACCTTCTAAAGCTCTACCAAAAGTTAAGGAGGGGGGGAAAATTCCCAAATGAAGGAATTAAAACAAAAAAGTTGCCCCGAATCGCCTCGGGTATGCTTGAAATCTCTTCTGGGCTGCAGAGCTGCTCGGTGTGGTGCCCTTCCCCCGGTATTCATGCCCCGAGCTGGAGCAGATCGCTAGAATACATTGTTCCTGGAAAAACGTTCCTCGCAGCCCCAAAACTTGCTTAGGAAGAACTTCCAGAAGGGTAAAAGTACCCCCCAAACCTCAACTTCCATCTTCCCCACCTCTACAGCTTTTGTAAAGCTCCCGCTTACCGAAAAGGCTTGTTGCAGGGCTGATCTTATTTTCTTATGTTCTTGCAGGGGCAGAGTAGCTGTGAGGAGGAGGAGGAGGAAATCGTTCACTTTCTCCTCGGCCAGACCCAGGGCAGTGAGGGGATCTTCCTTTGGAAAGTTGCAGGAATTATGCGTGTTCCTGCCTGGATAATTCAGTGTAGTTAATCAAATCAATAAAACCGAAGCAGAACAGAGCTAGGAGAAGGCTTTATGGGGTTGCCTTGCTGGTCTATTTCAGCTGCTTCCTCAGTACTTTTTTTAAAAACATACTTTTATATACAAACATGCCGTATTTATCAATAACCTTTGGCTTTGCATTTCCTCCTTCCATCTTACTATTGCAGGATTATTTTGCTGCCTTTTTTTTTTTTTTAATTAAGTTTTGGGAAGATGCAAAGTGCCAGTATTATTTGTAAGAGGGCCCCTACAGCATATGTACGTGATTTGCGTATGCCCAAATGTCTGTGCCCATCTGGGTCTGCTGATAAGGGAACACTGTGGTTCTGCAAGGGTATATACCTTTGAGAGGCTTCATCAGATATATAAATCTTTTTAACATGTTGTCGGTGGTGGGGTAAGTAGTGTGAATGTTTGCCAGATGTTCACATCGTCTTTCGCGTGTAATTTCAGTTGGTAAACAGAAATCCCGTAACCGGTGCCTGATAGCAACAGCTCTTTATACAACTGAACCCTTGTATAAAGGATCGTGTGGCTTGAGAGAAAAAAATTAAGTGATATTTTTCTTTGCCTCAGTGGGTGCTTGGTGGGTTTTAAACCCACCCAATTAAAACTACCCCCGCCCCCTCCAAAAGTCTCTCCTCAAAACCCACAGGAGAACGGTCAGCTCTGAAATAACAGCAGTGGGAAAGAGCGGCATTGAATAGCATTCCCTCCCCTTCCCAGAAGCAGCCGGCTGTGATTTTTAATGTGTTTACTGTCCCAATTGTAAAGAATTAAATTTTAACACCTGCAAATAAGCTGGATGTTAAGTGGCATGGAGGTAGAGGAATGGGTTTCTTGTTCCATACGTGTGCGCTTCTGTGCTCCAAGTTGGGCGCTGAAATCCCCCGAACTGACAGCTCTAAGCAGAGGATGTTTCCAGTGCTGGGGCAAGGGGGGTTTATTTTCCCTCTGCCTCACACAACGAGCCTAATAAAGCACAGGCCGGGTGTAATATCTGAGGTGGAGGGACGGAGAGAGCGCAGTGCTCTCCGTATTGAATAAGACAGTTGATCCCAGCTTGGCTCCCAAAAGCTTCTGGCTTTGGTGTGGAGATCGCCTGGCTCCCGCTGGCTATGGGAGCTGCTCGGTGGCAAAGGCAGTTTTCAAGCCATTCCTAAATTAGTGTAATTCATCTCCCTTGTGTTGGGTAGGTGGCTGTTTGCAGCACTGGGACTGAGGGGGCTCAAACCTGTGCCCCCCTGCCTCTGGCACACACACGCCAGCCGGCTTGAATTTGGAAAGTTGTTCCTGATGGTGACATCCTAACCTCACTCTCCTCTCTTTTCTTTTCTCTCCAGGAAACATGCTTTAAACTGCCACAGGATGAAGCCAGCGCTTTTTAATGTCTTGTGTGAAATCAAAGAAAAAACAGGTAGGAAATCAATGCTGTTGGTTCTGTATTATTTTTCTTTTTGCTCTTTGAGGGTTTTATTTTACCAAGTTTGTTGCCCCCCCCCCAACCCCTCCCATATGCAGGAGTTTTTAAGTGGGGAGAAATAACTCGTCAGTCTTTAATGCTTCAGGCAGTGGACTTGCATGATGCGGTTTGTGTCTGTAAGGGAAAATACCGTGGTTTAATTTCTATTGTATAGCGTTTCTTTATTTATTGCTTTTTCTCTGGAGAAGAAAAAAATCAACCCCATTGCAATTTCTGTCTTGCTCTGGTTTCTTCATTAGGACATGGCACTGTTTAAAAAAAACAAAATAAAATCTGGATGCCGAGTGTATGTGGGGGAAATAACCCTAACAAAATGAAATTGTGCAGTTCTGTTGCCGTTAGTATTCGTGTAAACATAAAGGTGTGTTTGTTTTTTTTTTTTTTAAAGAAAGGGTTAAAATGCTCTTGTCTGCCAATCATCCAGGCTAGCTCATGTAAGAGCAAGTTGTCAGTTGCCTTTAGTGAAAGCAATATATTAGATTGTTAGTTACTTTAGGGTACTGTTGTTTTATGGCATGGGGTGTTCTCAGGCTTCTTTAGAAGCTAATGGCATGAGAGCGTTGGTTCTGCTGTTTCCCACTTTCCAGACCTCCTACCATGTACTAACACACTTATAACACATCCCAGGGGGGCATTTAAATTTTAAAAGCAACAATTAAAAAATAGCAGTCATCAATCAAGGGTGATCTTAAACAACAGATGCTCAGGGAAGGACATTTAGCAACATGCACCACTTATTTATGTATTTGGTGAAATCTCTCTTTTTTTCTTGAATAGAAAAAAAAAAGTGGGGGGAATGATGGAAATTTTGGAGGGGGGGGGAATTGTTCATCTCTGCTCTTGGTTTTCTGAGCTGACCAGAGTTGATCCGTGGGCCTTTCCCTGCCGATCTATCTGCCTTGTTTTAGCACGCTGCAAAGTACTTGACTTCTCCCCCCCCCGTCCCCCCCCTTTACAACAAGGACTGAAACAGTCAATAATTCATATCTAAGCCATATAAGCAAGGGCATGACATGAATGAAAGTGACAATAAATATGATTGCACACCCAGTTGATATACATTGATAGTTACACATAAAAGGGGAACAGCTTTCTGAAACCTGAACTGGGTCTTTTTTTTTTTTTCTTCCTTTCTTAAATATATATATAATACCTCCTAGCATGAGCAACTGATTGAAAATACAATTACTTGACTCTTGCAATATATATAAAATGACTAAGGGGACCCTTTGTTAAGTGTTGTTTGTGCAGTGTGTAGCCCAGACAAAGCACCTACCGATGGTATCGGCTCTCCGAAGTCCTCACAGCTGCAGGGCCGGCTCTGACCTTCCCGAGGAGTCCTTCCTTACAGAGTTCCTGTAATATCAAGCAGTGGGTTTGGTATGGGAACCTCTGAACGGTTCATGTGCTGTAACATGGGGCAGTCTGTCTAGAAATAGATTTTATGGGTTTTATAGTGTTCCCCTATGTGCCTCCACAAAAAAAGGAGCCACCAAGTTCCTTTCTCTCTTCCCTCTTTCTCCTTTTATTTTGTGTGAGTCAAAGGACGTGTTTGTCTGTCTTTTCTCCGTGTGTATTTGATGCTGTGTACGTTGTCTGTGCAGGGACACTTTTTGTTCGGGAGCTGTTTAATCCCGGTTTGGCATTGCTATCACTGCAGTCTCAGAGTTAGGGGAATGGGGAATCTGTTGGGACTAAACTTGCTGGGGAAATACATCTGACTTCGGGGATGAGGTGAGGTCCCGGCGAGTGGGGAGGGATGAGGAGCTGTACATACCCACAGTGACTAGATGGGGTAATTTGTGTCTGCTAAGGAAAATGGAAAGAGATGTTGGAAATCAGGAAATTCAGGTGTGAACTGGGACAGTCTTACTTTTTTTTTTTTTAAATGCTATTTGTTGCTGTTGTGCCTCAGTTATTCGTGTACGGGGCTGTGCTGTGGAGGTCTCCGAAGAGGCTGACTCGAGATTGCTTTTGAAGTGTTGTTTATCTACCCTCAGATATGTTTACAGTGAATTCCTTCACTTTGCAAATTCAAAGACCTCCTCCCCTCTCCCCCCATCTGCATCCCCAAAAGTCACACTTGGTGAGGAAGCAAACGGCCAGATGGTTTTGATTTATTTTTATTATTTTTTTTTTTTAATTATTGCTTTGTGGGCCCAATGCTTGGAGGAAGTTCGCCTATGTTTTTTCTGGGGCCAAGGGTGCCGCCGGGCTCTGTTTGCTTACCCCTTCCTTGTGGGCAGCGGCGTGAAAGTTGAGCCAACTTCTCGCTTCCCACTTTCCATTTAGCCTCCCAGATTTTTGCATGTGCCGCGTTTGAAATCCTGGTGATTGTTTGTGGTCACTGGTGGGTGTTTGAATGTGCGTGTGTACATCTTCCCCCCGGCGTTATGATGTGCAGAAATGTGCGTTCAGTTACCCCGCTGCCTGATTTAAGTGACTCCAGAGCCTTACGGAGACTTTACCACCATCTCTCGCAACATTATGGCTAATATTTCATAGTGTTAACCTTGTCTTGAGAAACCCAAAGTGTCCATAAAGTTCTGGGAAAGAGAGGTCGCCTGTATTGGCCGAAGAGTTCCCTTTTGCATTTGGGCTCCTCAGGTATTTTAAAGCATTTATAAACACTTAAAAAAAAAATAATAATGATTAGGGAAAAAATAAAAAAGCTCAGTGGGTTGTCTTTTGTCTGCAGCCTGCAGATTGCTGCTTTTGTGGTGATATCTGTTTAAAAGTATTGAAAGTTGAGAGGTTTGGTCCAAGCAGGAGTTACATGGGGGCAAAAAAATTGCCGCTTAAATATACATCGAAGTTGTCGGCATTCATTTGGTGCGTTTTCACTTGCTGTTGGTCGCTTTGTTGCGAGGGAAGGGGCAGGACTGCCTTCAAATGGCTGGCTGGCTTTTTGGAATAATAATTATGGAAATGGGAGGCATTGTTGTCCTAAATACAATTGATTCCTCCGTCAATAGGGATTGAAATCGGAAATTGCATTGCTGATTTATAAAAAGTTTGAAGGCAGGAGTAGGGGCTCTGTCTTTATG